CCCACGGAAGGTTAGGGTTAGGGTCCTCTATCATTCCAATGCACAAAATGCAAAATAACAGAATCAAGGTGAAAAGCATCTTAACAGTAATAGCAGTTCAATAATAGAAACATGAGCGAAGCGAAGGAGAGGCTGGGCTTCCCTTTGTTGGACATGTTCAAGCAGAGGCTTGACAGCCATTTGCTGGAGATGCTTTGACCGGGATTCCTGCACTGAATCCAATATGCCATAACGCATGAACCCTCCCAATATCTTCCTGTTGTTTCTATTTCAGCAATTACAAGGGTTCTTTGACCCAAAAGATAACTGAGGAGGAAACACGATTGTGCTCGAGCACCTGAAACAATGCCACGTAGGAGTTCTGGACCTGTTCCCTCTCATTCCAGAGTACATGATGTCAAATAAAGAATTTAAGAAAAGGGAGGTATATTTCAAACAAATTTGGGGAAGCTCTTTTCTAACAGTAAGAGCAATTTGAGAGTGGAATCCGTGACCCCTAGAGAAGGGGGATTCCTCTCGCTGGATGTGTTCAAACAGAGGTTTGACAGCTATCTTTCTAGGATACTTTAATTCAGATGCCTTCACTTAGCTTGGGGGTTGGACACAGATGCTTTCCAAAACTAGAATTCAATGATTAATTGGGAGCATGCATTGCTGTAAGCATGACCTGCTTAATTTAACCATGGCTCTTTGAGTAAATCATAAGTCAAAACAAAACAAGCCATACAGCTAGACACAAAAGTTTAGGTGGTGCTGATCCAATTGTTTGTTTCAGGGAACTCCTAAGTGGACAGAAGCTGATGCCACCTGGTACAAAGTTAAACATAATGTCCTTCCGCAAATGAAATGCACACTATCTATGTACAGTTGTTTGCAGATTTAAAATAAGGAAATAGTGAATACGGCAGGTGCAGAAGTCTGGAGCCCCTTCCAGTGGATTCAGCACTATGTCTTCTGTATTTTAAACTTGATAACAAGGCTCCAATGGCTATTGACTCATTAGACTTACAATTAGCCAGATAAAGGCAATTCCACAGGTAAATAAATACTTTGACATTTCTAACTTCTCAGGTTGCTATCTAACCACCCTGGGCACTAGAAAAGTAAGGGAATTCACTCTAACAAAGTAAGAGAAAACTACAGGTAGTCCTCGCTTAACAACTGTTTACTTAACGATGGTCCGAAATTATGATGGCCTCAGAAAAAGTGCTTTACGACCTGTACTCACACGACCATCGCAAACTGTCACACCACCCCACAGTGACGTGATTGTGATTGATGACCCTCTTTTGGTGGCTTCCAACAAAAAACGTCCATTGAGGAAGCTGGATTCGCTTCACAACCATGTGATTTGCTTAACAACCATGGTGATTTGCTTTATGACTATCATAAAAATGGCCATAAAATCAGATCAGGTCTTGTGGTGACTTATTTAATGGCTCCACTGCTTAACAATCAACTTTCCAGTCCCTATTGTGGTAGTTAAGTTAGGACTACCTGTATTGTATGAAAACTTCCAGTTAGTAGTTTCAACTGAGAGAAACATGTTAGGAAATAGAAGTTAAAAATAAAGAAAATTGTTGAAGGCTGTTGATCTGGAACACCAAGAAAAATCTTTGCTGGAACTGCCTTAAAACCAGTTTGATTTGCAAAACAGACCCTACAGTTCACCAACAACAACATGCTGAAAAGTTGAGCTGGCACTGGAGTAGATATCCACAGATCCCTTAGACTCTTAACAGCCTTTGGAAGCTGTTATTTTTGCCAAAGGAAGTATGAAGGGCGAAAAGGAATATCTTCTGCATGTTCACCATTTTCTTACTTTGAATCTGTAAACAACTGCATCCATTCGCATTTGGATAAAGAGGTGGTGTTTTACTTATAACACATAGAGTTTGTCAGCTTCTCTTTACAAAAAAAGAAACAAAGAATTTGGCCAAGGGTGCCTGTATTATGTGTTCAGTACATTCAAGCCTGACCGTCTCAAATTCTCCTAACTATCTATTGACAAAAAACCCATTCTATTTCCTGATCACAATGAAGCTTCAGCTTTACAGGTAGTCCTCGGCATTTGTCCGTTTGTTCTGCGACCAAAAGTGACAGTGGCACTGAAAAAAGGGATATACAACCGATCCTCGAAGTTCCGGCCATCATAGCACCTCCACAGTCATGTGATTGCAATCTAGGCACTCGGCTCACAATTACATCGCAGAGAGCCACAGTCACGCAATCACCATTTGTGACCTTCCCTACCAGCTTCGCACAAGCAAACTCAATAGGGAAGCAGACAGGGAAGGCCACAAGTAGCTCTAGTAAGTTGTTCCTGCTTTTTCTCCCACTCACAGCACACACCCCTGCCCACATGCAGCCTGCACTGGCCCTCCCCCACCCCCCCACGGCACCCCCACGCTCCTTACCTGGGACTCCTGCTGCTTCCCACTTAATGACCCGTATGTCTTGGGTTATGATGGCAACCGGAGCTGCCGGGATTGTCGTCACTAACCAATGCAGTCATGTGACATCACACTTTATTTAGTGACGGCAATCCCAGTCCCAATTGCCATCATAACCCAAGGACTATCTGTTATACTTATTCCTTCTTTCTCCTTTGTTCTTTACATTCATTCTGTTACCACATTATATCATTTGTTCTTTACAACAGCATAAAGGGACAGGCTTTTTCATTCCCCAATTTAAAACACCTGGTCTGATTCTCTCCCTCCCAACTTCATTATTTATATATATTCCACTCAATTTTCTTTTCCCTGTATTTCTGAGAATGTTACACATCTTCTTTAAGGTTCTATACTACCTTACTCCTGACTCCTGAACTTTGCACAAGCTTGCTTTCAGTGCAGACCCTTGCTTCTCTAGGAAACTCAAACCAAATGCTATTTTTGCATTTTATTTACAGTTGAAGCACCCATGCAATATTTGGAAGTAAATCTTGATATGAGCAGTCCCAAATCACTGTGGGTACTTTATACCAAATAAACTATGAGAGATAATACCAACCATTGATCAGGAAGATACTACATGTCTTCCTTCCTCCATAGCTATCACTGACTTGAACCTCCATTTTTCATCTTGCTGCGTGTACTTCTTCCTCAAGACTAATTTTCCTAGGTGCCCCTGGAATCCCTTCCTGTCTGTATATCCCAGATTGGCCTTCCCTAATTTAGTATCATCCCCTCCCATCAAACCTGGAATCTGTAGGCTCAAAATAGCTGAAAGAGACCAAACTGATGCAGGTTGTAAATAAAGCAACAGACTTGTAACTGAAAAAAAATGCATTTTCTTCTCTCGCTTATTCCTCTGCCATTCTTCCCCTTCTTTTGCACTGACCTTAATTATAAAGTCAGAATCTGTCAGACCTGTTCTTGGTAAAGAACTACAGATAGTCCTCCCTTAATGACCGTTCATTTAATGATGATTTGAAGTTAATGATGATTTACGACCTGTACTCGCACTTACAACCATTGCAAACTGTCGCACCACCCCCACGGTTACATGATCGCAATTTGGGCACTTGGAACCAGCTCGCATTTACAATTGGTTGCAGCGTCTCGTGGTCACATGATCGTGGTTTGCAACCTTTTTTGCCAGTTTCTGGCAAAAAACGTCCATTGAGGAAGCTGGATTTGCTTAACGACCACATGTTTCATTTAATGGTGATTTGCTTAATGACTCCAATGATTCAGTTTACGACCGTTATAAAAATGGTTGCAAAATCAGGTCTGGTCACATGGTAACTCGCTTAACAACTGCACCACTTAACGACTAATTTTCCGGTCCCTATTGTGATCATTAAGCGAAGAGTACCTGTATGTGTGTAAGCAATGCCAATCCCTATCCCATATATTTAGATAAATTAGACATGTTGTCTGTACCTAAGAGAGAGAACGTGACAGAGACAGCAACTGCAGGGGAATAATACAAATTCTCATCAACAAAATGATCAGTGCAAAAGAGATTTGAGGCAGCTGACAGTTAACACAAAACATATTGCCAGAAATTCTTCAGCATGGGTATTTGCAAGTCTTTGCTGCTTTTGTCAGAATGACATTATGAGCTCTGCACCTTTCATATATGTGAGCATCACCATTATCCACATATATAAGCAATAGGCCTTATGACACCACTGCCACCACCTCTTGTCAGAGACCATTGGTTTTAAGCCAGGAGTTCTCGTGCTTTGTGCCGTGACACCACCACCCCAATAAAAAAAACGAATCTGAATCCTTAACAACAGCAGCATGGATATAGCTGTCAATATAGCTGGAAGAATTAAACTTTCTCCAGATACCCGCACACAGCCCTGTCAGAACCTGCTGGTCTGCTCTATTCTCTGGCTGATTATTCTGGTTGTTATGGCACCAGCAGCCACCTCTGTCCAGGGGCTTGAGCCCACTGTCGCTCATTATGCCTGCCAGACCAGCTTCTCTTCTCGCCACACCTGCCTTCTGTTTCTCTCCCACTGACTAAGCAGCAGTCAAGGGACCTGGACTAGCAGTGATCTGCAGCAGCTGTGGTCTTGTAAGCACTGAGGCTGTAGAATAAAGTATGAAAAACTTGCTTAGTTTCTGCTCATCTCTGTTGGAAAGGTGGCGGCAGTTGAAAGGAGCAACTGTTGTCAGAACACAGGGCCCTTAGTTCCTGCTCCACTAGTGGAGGGGAAAAAGAGAAGAAGGCGATGGCATGCTGGGTGGGAAAGCCCAAGGGGCAGCAAGCAACAGGCTCCAGAGGTCAGGGTCCGCCTGGGACAGAAGCTGCTGCTGCTGCTGCTGCTGCTGCTGCTGCTACCCCAACAACCCAAACAGGGAAAGCGCAGAACAAGCAGCCAGCTTGTCCAGAGAAAGTGGGAAAGTCTGCAGGGCTTTGGCTTTGCCTGTGCAAGCCCTAACATTTTTGTAGCTCTCCCTGGGAGTTGTGACCCACAGCTTGAGAAATCTTGCCGTAAGCAGTTAATCCCACCTCACCCCACTGGATTCAGAACTTACCGATACTGAAAGACAGCATGTTGTTTAGAGCACGAGGGATGGTCAATAGGGATATCAGCAATGCGTCGGTGCCTCCCCAGCAGATAAGCGCTCTGCCGGTGAATGTACATAACAGGAAGAACCTCATCATTCTTGAAAGGATATAAGCGCCACCGCTTTTTGGGAATGCGTGCTTCTGGGGGTTCGGTGTATTTGATCACGACGCCACGAAAAGTATTGGAATCCTCCAAAAGAGCACCAGACAGTTCAAAGCTTGGTTTTTCCTTACTACTTGACTCCTTGTCTTTGTTCTTGTTGCTGGGCCCTCTTGCCTCACTATTTTCCTCATCTCCACTTGCTTCCATTTGCTGACGATGATGCCGCCGCCGCTCATTGTAGAGTTCCCTTTCCGCCTGCTGATCCAGGAGACGATGGGCGTCCTGTTCCCTTCCACGGCTCTCAGCCTGATCCTTACTGAGCTTCCTTCGACCTGAACGATCCCGGTGCCTCTCTCTGTTGCTGCTTTTTCCCTGCCTGTGTTCAAGCTCCGATCGATCTTGATTCTGCCGCTCTTCACGTCCCCTCCGGGAGTGATCCTCTCGCTCCTATAACGGCGGAGGAACAAGCGGATAGCTAAAACCGGAACTCAGAAATAAAAGCAAATAAAATACTTTCGGACTCCCGACTACCTCTTATAAGAGCATGCTATTATTCAAATTAAAATTTAAAAAAAATCCTGATGCTGGGAAAGATGGAAGGCCAAAGGAGAAGAGGACGGCAGAGGACGAGATGGTTAGAGAGCATCCCTGAAGCAATGAGCAT